TTATTTATTTTTGGTGTTTTTGAGACAGGGTCTCCCTGTAGCCCCAGCTGTGATGGAACTCACTATGTAGACCAAGCTGGCCTTGAACTCACAGAGTTCCGCCTGCCTCTGCCTCCCAAGTGCTGGGATTAAAGGCATGCGCCACCACGCCCGGCATGTAATGCTTTATATGCAGCTGGCAATTAAGATTGTAGTGCTGTGTGTCGAGCTTCTGCCCCTTCACACGACTGGAACCAAAATTCTACTCGGACTGTTTGCTAAAGTTGTTTGTCTCACAGCCCGCAGCTAGTCTTCAGAGCTTCTAGTAATTTCCAACATAAAAAGGGACTGTGGTATTGGTGTACATGGCTGTTTAGTCCATCTTACAAGGATCTTATCTTCCTCAGAAGTCTCGAGCTTTTCTGTCCCAATCCCACTTGGACTCTTTGTTGTTGTTGAAAGTGTTTTTATTTTAATGTTTGCTGAAAGCATTTTCTTGTACCTCTTCAAAGGAAAATGTATTGTGAGTACTTCCATAAAGTACAGAGTAAATATCCAACTTCCTGTTTAGGGTGGATCGGATTTTCTTGGGGAATATGGTTATAAAGGCCTTTAGGAGCTGTGTACTGATCACAATAGCATGTATGCATTTTACTGTAGCTTCCATTTCACTGTCATAGGAAAAGTGGGAGAACAGCATAGCTGTTTGCCTGTCAACATTTTAATAGTTTATATTTTTGAGAGAAAGTATCTATGTCATAGGCTATGTTAACAAATTAATTGACCATAATTATCAAAATTGATGATTAATTATTTTCAGTTTTTCTGTGCTGTGACCAATTACAATACATTTGATGTGAACTAATTAGTATTGTGAGGAGTCAACACATGGGTAAGCATTGGACTCCTTTTTAACCAGTTATACAAAGAATCAAATACAATTGATCAGGGTGGTGTATGAAAATGTGCCTGTCCCTAAAAGCTCCCCAAACATCTGTGGATGATTTACATTTATAGGCAAAGGCTGTTGTAGAATTTTCTCAATCACTTTGTAAGCTATCATCCACATCTTACCTTACCATAAGACTCCCAAGAATTTCACAGCTGTGCCTGGCCCTTGCACACTGTGTGGACTGATCTCCCATCCATGTTCCCTTTTTTCTGTATGTGTGAGTGGGGAATGAAGCTTGAGCCACCGAGTCTCAGTGTAAGTGGCTTGCCGGCTCTGGGACCCCAAGCTATGAGGGCCGCTCACTCCATCAATGTTCCTTAAAGTACACTTGTATGGCTTTTAGATGATTTTTTTTTTTAAATCCGTAAAACAAGGAGAAGGGGTGGGCAAGATGACAAACAGCGGGAATATGAAGGTAACCTGTCCATTCCAGGTGAATTTAAGTTGGTTTGGGATTCAGCAGCTATGGCAATGGAAAATATCCCATCACTTGTATTGCTTTGTCAAAAGAGCAATATTGGGTGCAGAGACATGCCTTACTTTGTTTAGCTTCTATAATTCGTGGTTATTCTCCATGATCCATCGTTTGACTTCTTTACCAGCCACAGTGAGTTGTTGAAAAAATTTTGCCTGGGTGAATAATCTCTACTTTTCCTTTTTTCTGTATGTGTGAGTGGGGAATGAAGCTTGAGCCACCGAGTCTCAGTGTAAGTGGCTTGCCGGCTCTGGGACCCCAAGCTATGAGGGCCGCTCACTCCATCAATGTTCCTTAAAGTACACTTGTATGGCTTTTAGATGATTTTTTTTTTTTAAATCCGTAAAACAAGGAGAAGGGGTGGGCAAGATGACAAACAGCGGGAATATGAAGGTAACCTGTCCATTCCAGGTGAATTTAAGTTGGTTTGGGATTCAGCAGCTATGGCAATGGAAAATATCCCATCACTTGTATTGCTTTGTCAAAAGAGCAATATTGGGTGCAGAGACATGCCTTACTTTGTTTAGCTTCTATAATTCGTGGTTATTCTCCATGATAGTGGTATACACTTCTTTACCAGCCACAGTGAGTTGTTGAAAAAATTTTGCCTGGGTGAATAATCTCTACTTTTTCTAATTCCCTGATATTCTCTCTCTCTCTCTCTCTCTCTCTCTCTCTCTCTCTCTCTCTCTCTCTCTCTCTCTCTCCAGGTCAACACTGGATGCCTCCTTCTGTCATTTACATCTTATTTACAGACACAAGACTGAACCCAAAGCTCATCAATTTGTCTAGTCCCAGGGCTCTACCTGTCTCTGCTGAGTGCTGGGAAACAAGTGTATACCACTACCTGGCATTTATTTGAGTACAGAGGATCCAAACTTAGGTCATTACACTTGCATCACAAGCACTTTACCAACACAGCCATCTCCCTGCCTTGGTTCCTGTAATTTAGTTCTACTTGCCTGGCATCTTATATTGCTTGTTATTTAGTTCTGTGAAGGGAGTGAGCAAGTCTATGGGTTTCCAGTTCATCCAACCACATGTGACTACTTTTATAGTTTGCACTATTGGGTGAAATTCTCCAACTGTGGTTTGCAGGAAGTGTTCCAGAAATATATCCACTCCTAGTATATTTTCTGGCAGGGGAAAAATGCATAGAGTATATTCTGGAAGTGGGAGAGGATAATTGTTCAGCTCTAGGAGCTTAGTTTTCTTTACCTGTACTTTTAAAGCTCTGTATTCATTTAAAGTCATTGACTCGTTCTGGTGCTTTGTGGAATTGCCACTAATTCTGCTACACTCTGCTCTAGTATTCAATAAAGCCCAAGGTTCTATAGATCAGTTAAACCACAATTCAACATTTGGCCTCTGTTTGCAACCTTTGACATCTCTTCTGAAGAGTGATGTGGGGGTCTCCTACCCCTAGAGATATCCTTTCTCTGTAATAGAAGGCACAGTAGGGATTATCATGTAGTCTTTGTTTTCTACACATAAGCCATCCTCTTTGAACATATTTCATTATAAAGATGATATAATGTTAACCATTGTGATACATTGCTATTTAGCCTTCAAAGCTTCCCAGAGGCTTGCAACGAATTTGGCTATTTGTCAATTTTTCTTTTCAATAGAGAATCTGGCTTCACACAAATCTTGCCAAATTTTCTTTCAAGTGACCCAAATGGGCCCCATTTTCTGTTTTCCCTTCTTTCCATCTCCTGAATGTTTTCACATTTTATGAACATGATTTATAAGCCAGTCTAAATTATTCAGATACAGCAGAGCCTCTTCAACCTTGTAAATATCATCCTCCCACTGTGCAGCTCGGCAAAGCCACTAAATGCCAATTCCAGTCCCAAAGTTCCCATTGAATCAGCTTCTATAATTCTCCAGTGAACCCAATCCTGTTACATCCGGTGAATATCAAACACTGCCTCTGGCATGCCCAATTGCATCAATAATTCCTGTCCTCTCTATTGTTCTTAAATCTCTGCCATTTATGGGTACCTCTCCTGGAGATTACCAAGTGTCCATCGTACTTCATATGAGTCAGTCCATCAGGGACTGATTTACACTTATATGGCAGATCCCTTTCACTAAGGAGACACACCGCTTTTACCACACAGAAGAAGATGGTCACCCTGGTATTCCCCCCATAGATGCTCCATTTTCAGACAGCACAGTCTTAGGTATACTGATGACAGGGAATGCCACTACTACTGCAGTAAGAAGGTATGTCAGTCCATACCACATGGGGCAAAATGGCCAGATCAGGGTTGTCCCCGTGAACACTCCACCCTCAGATAGTTTAGGTTCAGTCGTATGTCTTACCCATAGCAGGGTCAATACAACGGCTCCTCTAAAGTTCATCTTTGGTTCCTTCACATCCCCATCTGGATACCAACTGTTGCATCAACTTTTCCTGGTAGAGGTAAACAGATGTGTATTTCCCATGTAGGGCACCAGACACAAACCAAAGCAATGATTCTACCATGTCCAGCTTAGTGAACCAATGAGTTTAATTGGGGTTACTTATAGAAACATGAGTAAGAGGCTACCTAAGGGAGCATGGACAACATATGGGCAGCTACACCACCAAATAAGAGTCTCTTCCCTTAGTTTAACTGCTCTTATATGCTCAAGACAGGGAAGGGGCCTACTGTATCTTGTGAGCCTCCTTCTAAGCCACCCCTTTTGTCCTTGCAAGCCCCTTGTGTACCTCCTTATGTGCTTTGTGAACCTTCTGCACTCCATGAAGGAAAGTTAGTGGGCCCAATCTTGAGATGGTCTTGTGGGCAATCACAACTACTCTAGTTTCAAGATAGTAAGAATCAACCATGACAGGAGGCCAGTATTCCACAGCATCTTTTGACATGAGTCTATTGTATTCCTCTATCTCTAAGGCCCGTGCTACAATGGTTCATTTCAGTGGGTGGGAGAACTGTATTAGAGAGTGTTCCATGTTTACATAATAAGTGATAAGAGACAAAAATAGGTCCAGAAGATTTGGCATTAGCCTCATGTTCACAAGATAGAGTCTTAAGAAGAGAACGCCCTGCACTTTCAATATCAAATCATACTCCTAACTAACCAGGATGGGTTGAGGTACAAAGACACCTTGTACACAGGTCTCAGATTGGTAAAAGAGACCACACACAGACCCTTGAGTAGAAGCAAATTTTCTCCCCTCAAATAATCTGACAGGTTTTCCTCATGAATTTCACTTGCACTCCAGTGTTTCAGCCTTCTAGACAAGAATTATGATTACCAAAACACAGCTGCTTTGACTTTCACAGTACATTCAGTAGGAAGCTATACCTTACTGCAGAGAATAGCAATCCATGTTCCTAAAACAAATGTTAAGCCTGACAGAAATTCTATGAACAGTGAATGCCTCACTGATGAGACACACATTCAGCTGTAGTCTGTATACAAACCTCCTTCAGGATGACAATTCATACAATCCCAATGGTCTCTGGCAAAAGGTCACAATAAACCAGCACGTCAAATGCTATAAAGACACAAACATGAAGGGCCTGGAGATGTAGCTCAGTTGGTAGAGTGCTCACCTGTAATCCCAGAATTCAGGAGGAGGATCAGGAATTCAAGGGCATCCTTGGCTAAATAGAGAATTTGAGGCCAGTCTGGGATATAGGAGAATCTGTCTCAAAAGAAATTTTATATATCTATGAAAAATATAATTATATAGGCAAAAAGTACTACTTGTAGTTACAGGACAGTAATGATTATCAGCATGAAAGGAAAAATAAGGCAAAATCATAAAGATGACCTTTTATGATTAAATTACAAATATTTTTCCAGTATATGAAAAAGATGAGTTTTTAATCAACATATTGCTTGAAACAGCTAAGAAACTTAATATAAAATATGTAGAGAAATTGCAGAAAATATGCATGAAAAAGTAGAACTGGGGCAAGAGAGACAGCTCAGCAGTTAAGAGTACCGGCTGTTCTTCCAAGAGACCCTGGGTTTGGTTCCCAGCAACCACTGACAATTAACAATTGTCCATGACTCTAGTTCCAGGGGATCCAACCCTTTCTGGCCTCTGCAGGCATTGCATGCACAGGTGCACTTACATACATGCACACAAAACACTCATACACATACAATTTTAAAAATTTAAAAAAACTAGTGAAGCAATTTTTCTGGATAAAGAATTTATATTTTGTTTATTATTTTTATTTTTATTTTATGTGAATGTGTATATTGCCTGCATGTAGGTAAGTGCACCTGTGTCGTGCAATGCCTATGGAGGACAGAAGAGGCTGTCGGATCCCCTGGAACTGGAGCTAGGACAGTTGTTAGCTGCCATGTGGGTGCTGGGATTTGAACCCGGGTCTTCTGCAAGAACAACCAGTGTTCTTAACCACTGAGCCATCTCTCCAGCCCCTGGATAGAGAATTTATAAACTATCATATCAGTCCAGTAGGAACAGCTCAAAAATTAATAAGTCATTTTCCAAAAAAAATGTGGAAAGCTTCATAAATTTGCATGCTATTCTCATGCAGGAACTGTGATATTCTCTGTACTATATAAATTTTAGTGTATGTGTTACCAAAGTGAGGCCAGTAATTCATTTTTTAATTTTAATGCCCACTAACTACAATTTAGAAATACATATTAGAAATACTTATTTAGAAATACATACTAGAAAAATACCTTATTCACTAACGAATTTAACATGGTTTAAAATAAAGACAGAAAACTAAATGCTCATGATCTAATTTGATTTAAAATTATGACCTATAGGTTATAACTCATACTGTTGCTCAAACAAACCTGGTATTGGCTATGGTTATTTTTTAAAAAAATTATTATTGCCCCCCCTCGCATGTTGGCATATGCATTGTGCATGAGGCGGTCAGGGGACAACTTTGTGGCACTGATTTGCTCCTTTGACCTTTAAGTGCATTCTGGGGATTGAGCTTGGGTCATCAGGTTTGCATGGCAAGCTCTTTTGCCTGATGATCCATCTCACTAGCCTGCAACATTTATTTTCAAGTCTGAAATTAGAAATATACATTCTAAAGATCTACTTTAAGAATAAGCCACTGGTAAGCATAATATCATTTCTAGATCATTTCCTTCACATTTTACAGCTATGTGGATAGGAATTTCACTATGGGGGATTTTAACATGATTTTCAGACTATATGTTACAGCTAACAATTTTATTTTACATTTCATATTTACATGATTTGATTCAGGTTTACTCGCACGGCCAACTAAAGACTTCTGCACATATCCTCTAAGCAAGCTTTCTTTTACATTTTGTGATTGAACTGAGATGACAAGGGATGTTCCCACAAACTTCACATTGGTGAGTTTTCCTAGAAAAATCTTGTGAGAATAGGGCCTTCCCACATTCTATGTTAGGAATTCTCAGCTGACACGCATATATATTTTCAAAGGGAACAAGAACATGTGAAGGCTTTCCCATGTTGCCCAGTCACATGTAAATCTGCTCACGTATTCAAACTTTTATCTAAGAAGAAATGTCTTTCCTACAGTTTGTGCTTACAGGGTTTCACTGCAACGTGAATTTGCTCATTTCTTTACAGAGTACTGCAGAGAGTGAAGTCTTTCCCAAATAGCTTACATTCACAGGTTGCAAATGCTTTCATGGTATCAAACGGAACTGGAAAAGGTGAATGCTTCTCATATTGCTTACATACAGGTTTCTCTTCACTAGAGTTCATTTAAAGTATTGGAGGGAGTCACAAAGGCTTTCTTCTAATACTGAGAATATGGCTTCTATCACTGTGAATCCTTTCATGACGTTGAAAGGAAGTGTGATGTTTGAAGGCTTTCCCACATTGCTTACACACAAAGGGTTTCTCTCCAGTGTGAAGTCGTTTATGTGTCCGAACGTTACTTAAACAAGAAAAGGCTTTTCCACATTGCTTACATCTGTATGGTTTCTCTCCACTGTGAATACTTTCATGACTTCTAAGGGAAGTCTGACGGGTGAAGGATTTCCCACACAGGTGACACACATAGGGTTTCTTTCCATTGTGAGTATTTTCATAGCATTGCAGGATACTGTGATCAGTGAAGGCACTCCTGTATACCTTACTCCCACAGGGTTTCTCTCCATTGTGACTTTTTTCATGGAATTGAAGGGAACCGTGACAAGTGAAGGCTTTACCACAGACTTTACATACACAGGGCTTCTCTCGACTGTGAACCCTCCCATGGTATCGAAGGGAACTGTTATAAGTGAAGGATTTACCACATAGCTTACATACATAGGGTTTGTCTCCACTGTGAATCCTTTCATGACTTCGGAGAGAACTGTGAGTAATGAAAGCTTTTCTGCATATCTTACATACGTAGGGCTTTTCTCCACTGTGAATCTTTGCATGGTACCGAAGAGAACCATGATTAGTGAAGGTTTTCCCACATAGTTTGCATTCACAGGACTTAACTCCAGTGTGAATTTGTTCATGCGTTTGTAAGGAACTTGACCGTACAAAAGCTTTCCCACATAGTTTACAAACATAGGGTTTCTCTCCACTATGAACTCTAGCATGGTACTGAAGGGAACTGCGATAAGTGAAGGATTTCCCACACAGCTTACATACATATGGCTTGTCTCCACTGTGAATCCTTTCATGACATCGAAGGGAACTCTGATCAATGAAGGCTTTCCCACAGAGCTTACACGTGTAGGGTTTTTCTCCACTGTGAATCCTTACATGGTACCGAAGGGAACTGTGATTAGTGAAGGCTTTTCCACATACCTTGCATTCATAGGATTTAACTCCAGCATGAATTCGCTCATGTGCTTGTAAGGAACTTGATCGCATATAAGCTTTCCCACATAGTTTACACATATAGGGTTTCTCTCCACTGTGAACCCTTTCATGATATCGAAGGGAAATACGACGACTGAAGGCTTTCCCACACTGCTTACATACATAGGGTTTTTCTCCACTGTGAACCCTTTCATGGCATCGAAGGGAAGTGAGATCAGTGAAGGTTTTCCCACATGGCTTACATACATCATACTTTAGTCCAGTGTGAGTTTGCTCACGACTTTGAACATTACTCAAAGAAGGAAAAGCTTGTGTAACTTGCTTGCATTCATATGGTTTCTCTCCACTGTGATTCCTTTCGTGGCGGCGAAGACTACAGAGATAAGTGAATGCTTTTCCACATTGCTTACATTCATAGGGTTTTATTCCAGTATGTATCCTTCCATGGCGGCGAAGACTACTGGGATAAGTGAAGGCCTTACCACATTGCTTACATGCATAAAGCTTCCCTCTAGTGTGAGTCCTTTCATGTATCACAAATGAACTGGAACAGTGAAAGCCTTTACCACATATATTACACACAAACTGTTTATCTTCCTGGTGTGTGATCATGTGTCTTTGAATGCCTGCAAGAGTCAGAAAGCCTTTCCCACACTGCTTGCACACATGAGATTTCTCTCGAGTGTGAATTTTTGCATGTATTTGAAGATAACTATATCTACTGAAGGCTTCCCCACACTGATTGCATTCATACAATTTCTCTCCATTGTGAGTATTCACATGCTTCACAAAGCACTGGGGAGAAATGAATGGTCTTCCACATTCCTTACATGTATACAACATCTCTGCATTTCCCTGATACTCACATTGTTTGTTTGCAGCCTTAAACGTCATGGGCAGATATCTCATTGAATTGTGATAGTCATCTTCAAGGTTCTGGTTTTGTTTTTTTCCTGAAATGAAGACCCAGAAAAACCACTGTGAATTACTAGATCATTAAAGGGATTACATTGTAGGTAGTTTACTGGTATAAAATGACCAAGCCTGATATATTCAACAACATTTTCCTTTCCTGTTCCAAATTGTGGACCTGTATTGATCAGCCAAAACATTTGTGCATTTTCTCATTGGCTAAATAAGGGAATGTCTCATTCTTACCTATACCAGTCAAGTTTCTGATGATTTCTTGCATCACGTCTCTGTGGAGCTTCTTTTGGGAAGAATCCAGCAAAGCCCACTCATCCCAGGTGAAATTCACAGCCACATCTTCAAAGGTAACAGATTCCTGAAACATACCACATATTTCCAGGAAGGATGGGTGAGGCTTAGAACACTGGAAATCTACACTCAATTTATAAGACATTCATACGATGCTGTATTTTCCAAATGTGTATGTAGTGGTTATTATATTCATGCTGAAAACTTTTCACAATGCAATTCTGATACTAATTGGAGCTATACAGTAAAGCAACACCAGGATATTTCAACAAATTTCTGTTAGGCCTACTGCATCTTCCATGTACTTGGTGTACACAGGGCTGGAGAGATGGCTCAGCAGTTAAGAACACTGGTTGTTCTTGCAGAAGACCCGGGTTCAAATCCCAGCACTCACATGGCAGCTAACAACTGTCTGTAACTCCAGTCCCAGGGGATCTGACAGCCTCTTCTGACCTCCACAGGCATTGCAGAACACAGGTGCACTTACCTACATGCAGGCAATACACGCATACACATAAAATAATAAATAAAATAGTAAAAAAACTTGCTGTATACAAAAGAGTTAGCATGGACCTTAGCAGACCATCTCAGAGTGCATGGATCCAGTCTCCACGTGGTGGTGGTGGTGAGCTTCCCCAAATAGCCATGCCCAGCCCCCTACACTGGGACCACATATGGTCCCTCTCACTTAGTCTGCCCTACAGTAGGGGCCCAAGACCTTAGTAGACTGCCTGAGAGTGCCTGGATCCAGCCTCCATGTGGTAGTAAGCTTCCCCAAATCTCACCATCCCCATTATCCTATATTGAGACCACCTTCAGTCCATCCTGCTACTCCAGGTCTAGTTTTCTCTGCCCTTTAGTAGGGGCCCAGACTTTGCAGATTGCCTGAGAGTGCCTAAATCAGGCCTCTCCTTAGCGAACTTCCCAAATTGTGCTGTGACTGCCTGCTAGTAGGGGTTCAGACCTTAGGAGGAAGACTGAATGTACCTGACTGGAGCCTCACTTGGGCCTCTGTGGGAGCTCCTGAATAGCTGAACTGAAGCCATGTGTTTCTTCCAATATAAAATCTGAGAAAACACAAAACCTAGACGAGCCAGCTTTACATACCCAGTAAGAAAAGAACCAAGACACACCAATAATACAAACAGAAGCAGAATTCAACTCAGCAAAGGAAGACTTGAGTTTCATACCAGAATCGCAAACAACAAATGAATCACAACAAAATCACAACAGAAAAGTAATAATATGGGAAACCAAGACAGCATGTTCCTATCAAACATCGCTAGTCCTGTAGAAGAGTTCTACAAGGAGACCCTCTAGAGACAACCCAGGACACAGACTTTAAAAGAACAATAATAAATGTGATCAAAGAATTGAATGAATTCAAAGAACACACAAACATCAAAGAACTAAAAGATAGGAATAAACTTCTGACTGAATTCACAAAGAGACAGAAATATTGAAGAAAACTCAGGCTGAAATGAAGAAAGGAGTGAAAAACTCAATAAGCCTATTTGAAACAACAGGAGAAAGTCTCGCTGATAGAATGAATGAAATGGAAAACAGAATATCAAGACTGGAGGATAAAGTTGAAGAATTGGACCACTCAAGCAAAGATTATGAAATATGCAGGAATGAAATATGCAGGAAATGTGGGACAGCATAAAAAGACCAAATCCACACATCATAGACATAGAGAGGGGAGAAGAATTTCAGGTTAATGGTGTTGACCAGATCTTAAACAGGATTGTAGAAGAGAATTTCCCTAAATTAAGGAAAGACATCTCCATACAAATACAAGAAGCACATAGAACACCAAATAGATAAGACCAGAAAAGAAACTCCACATGGCATATCATAGTAAAAACACTAAATGTACAGAACAAAGAGAGAATACTGAAAGCTGTAAAACAAAGCAACTCACATATAAAGTAAAACCTATCAGATTGCAGGTGACTTATCAATGCAAAATATGAAAGCCAGAAGAGACTGAACCAAAATATTCCCAGTTCTAAATGGCCAGTGATGCCAACCCAGAATTCTTTACAAGAATAGGCTGAAAGAACACAAGTCCACAAAACCAGCCCTTCAAAGAATACTTGAAGCAATACAAAGAACAGAGAAAGGAACAATTATACCCCAGGGGCAACAGAAAGAAGCTGAATGAAGGTATAATTGTGGAAACACAAAATTAGACAAGAATGCAAACAGTAACCAAAATGAGGACAAACAATGCACATCTTTCAATAGTAACTTTAAATATCTATGAACTGAATTCCCCAGTCAAAAGACACAGGCTAGTTGAATGTATTAAGAAACAAAGTCCATTCTTTTGTTGTCTGAAAGAAATCCATCTCACCTTCCAGGAAGCACCACCTTAAGGTGAAAGGATAGAAAAGAGTATTTCAAGGAAATGGTACCAAGAAACAAGCAGGGGTTGCAAATCTAATATCTGACAAAATAGATTTCAAACTAAAACTAATCAGAAGAGATAAAGAGGGTCACTTCATTCTGATCAAAGGAACAGTTAACCAAGACTGTATTACAATCATGAACATATATGCACCAAAACTCTGGTGCACCCAAATTCATAAAAACAGTACTACAGGATTTTAAGACACAGATTAACCCCAACTCAGTAGTAGAAGGGGACCTCAATATCTCACTGTCTCCATTAGAGAGGTCAACTGGACAAAGAATAAACAGACAGGGAACCGAATTAAATGATACCATACATCAAATGGACCTAGCAGACATCTACTGAATATTCCACCGAAGCACCAAAGAATACACTTTCTAGTCAGCACCCCATGGAACTTTCTCTAAAATTGACCACATGCTGGGGCACAAAACAAACCTTAACAAGCACAAAAAATTTAAATAATTCCATGCATTCTATCTGACCACAATCCAATAAAGCTTAAAATTAACACTAAAAGAAGCCCTAGTAACGACACGAACTCATAGAGATTAAAAGACACACTCTTGAATGATGAATGGGTCAAAGAAGAAATTAAGAAAGAAATAAAAGTATTCCTGGAATTAAATGAAAAGGACAATACAACACAACAAGACCTCAGGGGACACTTTAAAATCAGTCCTAAGAGGGAGGTTTATAGCTCTAAGTACCTACATTTAAAAAATCAGAGCACAAATAAATGACAACATTGTAATTCAAGACTCTGGAAAGGCAAAAACAAATTAAACCTAAATGAAGCAGAATTAATGAAACAGAAACAAAACAATACAAAGAACCAATGAATCCAAGAACTGGTTCTTGGAAAAGCTAAACAAGATAAGCAGACCCTTAGCCCAGTTAACCAAAAGAAAGAAAAAGCAAATTCAAATCCAAATCAAACATCATAGCAGGCACTCAAAAGATGTAGAACAGTATAAGGGAGTACTTTAAAAACCTATACTCTATTAAATTTGAAAGCCTAACAGAAATGGATGAATATCTAAAATCATGGGAACCACCAAAGCTCAACCAAGAAGAGATCAACAGTTTAAATAGACCCATAACATGTAAGGAAATTAAAACAGTAATACGAAACATCCTGAATAAAAAAAGCCCAGGCCTTATTAGGCTGATCATGTGATATATTTTAAGATTTTGTGGAAGTGAAACTTTTGTGCTTTATTGGGACAATTCATGCTGATTAGAATAAGAGACCCGCATCACTGATTTCCTCAGAGTCAACACACAGAAGCTGTGGTCTGGAGGGGGCGAAGACTGCATGTCAAGCTGGGAGCTGAATTTTGACAGTGTGTAAGAGTCTCCCACATGGTATTGATTTCGAAAGGATGAAGAGGTCATGGAGAACAGCTGAGGCTTGTCACTGTGAGGTGCCAAGGTGCAACCTCAGTTTCAGTGGAAATCCCAGGCCGGATATGGTGGTGCATGCCTTTAATCCCAGCACTTGGGAGGCAGAGGCAGGCAGATCTCTCTGAGTTCGAGGTCAGCCTGATTTACCCAGGACAGCTGGGGCTACAAGGAGACCCTGTCTCAAAGAAAAGACAAACAACAACAAAAAAAGTCAGTATCAGTCAGGTGTGGTGGGGTGGCACACGCTTTTAATCCCAGCACTTGGGAGGCAGAGGCAGGCAGATCTCTGTGAGTTTGAAGGCAGCCTGGTCTCCATAATGAAGGCCAGCTAGGGCTACAGGGAGACCCTGTCTCAAAAAGACCAAAAAAAAAAAAAAAATGTATCAGTGGAAACCCCAGGATTGAAGGGGTCATTGAGGGAATCTGAGGCCTGTCACTGGGTTAGGCCAGGAAAGATCATTTGCAAAGTGTAGCCTCAGGTGCAATGGAGATCCCAAAATACTGGAGATGCCAGGACCATGGGATATCCATCACAGATCATAGCAGGTGTAGAGTGGAGCCAGCCTAAGACTCTAAGATAAGCTGTGTGTGCTGTGGACAGAGAATTGGAGCTGCCTAAGTCCTTTGGAGCCGGAGCCGGAAGATTGTGACTAAGTCCCAGATGTCTGACATTGAGCCACACTGCTGGAGTTTGGTTTTGCTTAAATGAGCCTGGTTCTTCCATTTTGAGATAAAGTGGTTAACATGTTATTTATTAACTTATTTTTTTATTTTACAGGAACCCACAGTTAAGAGACCTTGGTT